AACCTGTAATGCCTCCTCTAATTCTGAGGCCACGCTGAACAATTTTTTGTCATTACCACCTGGGATGGGGAAGGTACCTGGCGAGACCCATTGTTTCCTGATTGTGTTGAGAAACAAAGCAGGGCATGGAACATGGTGCTGAGTGATCACCGGTTCTATGAAGACCGGATCCGTCTCTGGTTCAGTCGTGGAAGCCACTGGGGCCGGCTGGTTGGGAACCCCATGTGGAACCGAGCTAGCCTTGCGGAGGAGAGGAAGAAAGAGAGAAGGATTAAAGAGCCCCCCGAACGGTGGTGGATCTGGTGCCGGTTCCTCCTCCTCCCCTGACCATGAAGCATCGAGCGCCTGTTCCTGCTCCGGGGTCACTGAAACCCCGCTGAATGAGGAACGAGCTGGAGACTGAGGGTCACGAGAGCTCTGTTGTACAGGGTGCGAGAGAGGAAGGGAAAGCACTGATTCTGCTCTGGGCACTGATGGAGGCCTGGCCACAAAGGCCTGTTCTAGCGCCCTATTCACTATGGCCTGGATCCTATCATCCAAAGAAGAAAGGGAGATCTCCTCCCCTCTAAGTCCCGCGGCCGTGGGCGTAAAGGTGGCCTCAGGACCCTGCGGGGCCCGTGGGGTAGGTGGAGATCTGAAGGTCAACGCCTCCGTTGCTACCTGCGTTTGTTCATAGGAAGTGTGGGATTCTGTAGGGGCCCATACCTCCTGAGGAGAAGAAGAGAGCCCTAGAGGTAAATCAAAGAATGTGGCCTCAGGCTGAGCAGTCTCAGCTCTAGCCTGTCTTTGAGCCTTTGAGAACTCCTTCTCTAGCACCTGGTGTCTCCTGCTGGCCTGTTTGTCAGCCAATTTGGAGGTTTTCCCCCCAGAAGCAGCCTTGGGTTTGGCCTTGGCTGCGATCCTACCAGCAGCCTCCTGGGAAGAAGATCTGTGCCTTTTCCGCCCTGAAGGAGGAGATGCGACCCTGGGTTCAATGGCCGTATTCTCTTCCATGCTGGTACAAATCTTCAGGTGCGTGAGTGGGTGCACCTGGGAAGGGATCAATTGGCTGATAAGGTCTAGGGCAAGGTATTAATTAGGCTGCCCTATCCCCCCCCCCAGTCACCGGACCAGTGGTTGTTCACCTCCCCTGGTGTACCTGCAATAACAGTGTTCCCACTGCAGTGGCCAAAGGCTGCAGGTGAGGCTTGCTGTGTTACCAGGCCAGCAAACTATGAGTGGTAACAGTACAGTCGTGGAGGCTAAAACCACTGTACACCAGCAAGCCCAGGGTGACCAGGGTTTGAGACACCAGGTGGTCCAATCAAACTCTTGGACCTGTACCAAGGCTAAATGGGAAGCCCCTAAGGGAGTATGCAATCTACCCTCCTGATACCCAAAGCTCTGGTACCGTGACCCCTGAGAGAGTCTTTGTCTAATGGGGCCGATTTAATCAATTGAGGCCTGAACGGAAAGAAAAGTCACCGTTTGTTATACCTTGAGGCCTGACCACGCGGATTCAAAATGGCGGCCGATCCGGCCTGATCGCACCACCACCCGGCCTCTCAGGCCTTGAGTTGCCTCACCCAAGTGGAAACGCCGTCCCCTGGTGCAGGAAAGCTTTCCGGATCGAGAAAGGCAGAAAAACACAATCCGAGGCTTTCCGGCCCTCTCAAGCTGCCCTCGGAGCTTTTAGCGCCCGCAGGCCGTCGGAGCTGCAGCCGCAAGCTCCGATGCCAAGGGATTCGAGTGAGATCGATCCGGCAGATCCAATGTCCTCAGAGCCGCAGCCGCGTGCTCCGGCCTCAGGGAAGGTTGGGAGCGATCCGAAAGAGGCTTTGAGGCCCGTCGGAGCTGCAGCCGCAAGCTCCGACGTCAAAGTAGAAGCCGTTGGGATCGATCGGTTTTGGGCCTTCGGAGCTGCAGCCGCAAGCTCCGTAACAGTTTGGAATGGGGGGGGATCGATCCGGTTTTGGGCCTTCGGAACTGCAGCCGTGAGCTCCGTAACGGTATGGAATGGAGGGGGGGGAAATTTCTAGCAAACAGAACACCCCCTTTGCTATCCTGTAAGGGATCCTGTCAGGAATAGATGACTAGAGGAGAAAAAAAGGCTTTCTGAGAAAGGAGAGGGAAAGGAGGGATCGGAAGCACACAGAATCCTCTGTGTGTAAAGATCCCTGGATTGAGCAGTCCTCCGAAGGAGCGTTGAGCCCAACGTTGCTCAGGGGACTGTGGAGAAAAACCTATATTTTTAATTTAAGAATTTCTTATGGATAATCCACGATAGTTTTGCTACCTGCCTGTGAGCCAGTCTGCAACGTCTGCTCTGGGCCAGATCAAGTCGAAAACTGGGGGAAGATAGGCCCAGGACAGGCGTGGCAAGTTTGGCTGACTTGATCTGATTGGGCAGGAGGATTAAGTTAACCCTATCGTGGATTATCCATCTCCAGTGCTGTAGAAAAACCTAGGGTAAAATTTAAAATTTTGCAAGATGCACGGGAAAGAGGGGGACTTAAAGCTCCTAATTTAAAATTATATTATGAAGCAGTGGTATTAACCTGGATTAGTGATTGGATTAACTTAACTAATAGAGATATTTTGATACTTGAAGGTTGGGATTTATATTATGGGTGGCATGCTTATTTATTTTTGATAAGAAAATTGATCGGGTTTTTAAATCTCATATTTAAAGGATTGCACTTTTGAGAGTTTGGAAAAAGTATTCATATAAGGTAAATTTAAAAATTCCAATGTGGGCTATTCCGGAACATGCAATACAAGGAATAGTAAGGGGTGCAAAATTAGAAGGTATTGTTTATAAAGATTTACTTATGTTAAGAGGACAGGTCTGGCAAATTAAATCATTGGAAGAGTTAAGACAGGATAAT